TTCGAACCCGGGTACAAGCTGCTGAAATGGGCTTTCTTAGACGAATCGCTGGCCTTACGCGTCTCGACATTGTCCGGAATACTGACATACAGAAGAGCCTTGGTGTACAGTCTCTAGTTCTCTACATTGAGAAGTCACAGCGGCGATGGATTGGCCATGTGTTGCGAGTGGCTGTAGAAAGGAAGGCTAAGCAACTGCTTCTTGCCGGAAAGATGGTCAAGGGGACAGCCAAGATGAACTAAATATATGGAAAGAGTCTATTCCAGACTCCAGTTGTCTTTTGCCGAAGCTCAGACTCTGGCACAGGATCGGGAACGTTGGATGCTCTGTCTGACGCGTCTGCCTCCGCCACCCGAAAGGAGAAGCGACGATGGAAGATGAAGATGAAGAAGTCGTTCCAGGCATGCGACTGGTCGTTGGTAATATGACAGAGATGATGTGTCAACGGCTATACGGGAAACCGGGCGACGCGCGCCGGGCCAGAAATATTGTCAAACACTTAACCTGTGGGTCAGTGAGTAGACAAAATTTTTGACTCTTAGTTTTATGAAACCCTCAGAAATTACGCAAACCATGCTATCTCGACGGCCAGTTTTCTATATGACCAAGATGTAGACAGACCATTAAACGGGCATAGCTAACAGATATGCTCATTCAAATTACTATAAGAGCGGAGTTGGGTTGAGGCAGTGCTACTGCCTGGTATCACCAATGATATCTTTTCGCAGCTGAGACTTCATTAAACGATCCGCTTTTCTGGATCCGTTGGGCTGTATGACGGGCAAGGAGATGTTGGCAATGGTTTACAGCGGCTCACATGCTGAATGAACTGTTGAAACATTGCTCAGCGAAAACAGGTGCATGCCACCGCGCCGACTTGGGCTATTTTTATTGAAATATGCGAGATCGAAATCGAGATCTGCTGAACTTAATGCATAATGGAACAACGGAAGCCAAGTGTTGTTCTAGAATGCCTTCGGAAACCGAGTCTGGACCTGCAACGTTAGGTTCAAATGAAGGTTGTATGACTATTTCACATCCTATGGCAATTCTACTTACACAAATGAACAAAAATAATAATAAAAATATTCCGAGCTTACAGGCCAATCCAATAGGCTGAGATTAAAGAAATCAAGCAACTCTACGAAAAACTGGGAGACGAAATAACATGGACATCATGTACACAATTTCCTTAGGAGACTTCAACACGGTGGTTGGGAAAAGACCGAAGGACAGCGAGATTTTTATCGGGAAGGATGGGGTAAGCGAAAGAAATGAACGTGGAGGTTGCTTCGCAACTTTCTCTGAAAGCAATCACCTGCATGTAGTGAACACTGGTTTTCAGGAAACCGCAAACCGAGGGTGGACATGGTGAAGCCCTGGCGGAAAATCTTTGAACAAAATCGACTATGTAATGCTTGACAAGAAATAGGTAATATGAGACGTTTCGGTCAAAGGTGAGAACATCATCAGCATAGCGTCACACCACATGCCTTATTTTTCACAGCACAAGCAATGTCACAAAAGGCCAAAGATCACCGCTTTGTGAAGAACTACGATCAGATTCGATTGCTTTTAAACAGAAGCTGCCATTATTGAATTTTTGAATGAACATCAGCGAGAGCATAGATGTGGATTTTGACTATTTTGTTAACGCCACTAAGACTTGCTTCATAACATCAATCATGGTAGCAAAGTCAACGAGAATGTAATGCAGCTGTGGTTCAGCAAGGCAGCTAATGGCTAGAGGAGCCCAGCGAAGGCCGAAGAGAAAATGAACTACGTTCATTTTGCATTTTGCAAAGAGATGCGGAAGAAGCTGAAGGAGAAGTACAAAAGTGGCAAAAAATTCAATGAGGAAAGGCTAAAGCGAAAGAATTCCCTGGAAGCAGTGTGACCAGACATTCGTGTAAAACAGCGGATTCCTACTGCACTGAAAGGCGGAGAAAAAGCAAGAACTGCTAATCGCAATCGGATGAACTCAAACTGCGAAAAGTTCTACAATGACCTACACGGCATTTAATCGGAGGTTTCCATACGCTGCCACCAGAGCCGTACTCGAGGTCACGTGGGACGAAGTTCAGAGTAGAATCAGAAACATTAAAAGCGGCAAATGTCCACACAGCGGCGGAATAGGATCAGGACACCTGAAAATGGGAGCATGAGATCTATTCCACCGATATGTTGACTCTATGACCCGCGCTCAGAACGGTGTTGGTGTTCTGGTATAACCGAGCCTTATTGACAGGATCATTGAATGGAAGCGTGCCAGCGGAAGCGTGGCAAACCCCCGACTGAAACTACAAGCGGCTAAAGCTCTGACCTTGTTACAGGTCCATGCGTCCAATCTGGAGGGAGATTATGAATCCTTCGTTGAGGAAGTGGAATCTGCACTTACAAAGTGCCAGTTATGGAGTACCTCACACTCATGGGTGATTTTAATGCGCATGTCGTAG